AGCAAAGATAGGTTAAACTTTCGGTGACTCATGAGAGAGCCGCTCAGTTGAAGAAATAGGTGACTTGTTTGAGAGCAGAGCATATATACGTCAAGCTTTTGATGACCCGCAAGAGCCCCTTAGTTGGAGACATAAGCTGCCTGCTTGAGAGTAGAATAGAGATATGCCAAGCTTTTGGTAACCCGAGAGTCGCTCAGCTTGAGAGCAATGCAGAGATATGCTAAGCTTTTGGCGACCCGCGAGAGAGCCGTGCAACTGAAGATATATACTGTCTATTTGAGAGCAAAGTAGAGATAGGTGAAGCTTTCGGCGACTCATGAAAGAGTCGCTCAGTTGGAGACATAAGTTGTCTGCTTGAATGCAGAGCAGAGATAGACCAAACTTTTGGCGACCCTCGAGAAAGCCGTTATACTAGAGATAGACCACATACTTGAGAGCAAAATAGAGATAGAACAAACTTTGGCGACCTGCGAGAGAGTCGCTACGTTGGAGACGTATTGTCTATGAGGCTGCCTGCATGTGAATAGAGGTAGAATTTGAGGGTTAACCTATGAGATGAGAAGGGCGTTGAGGAGCTGGACACTTGGGACTAGCCGCCTATGGGGTTGGGCACCCACGACCTAGATCTTGAGAGCTGGGCGCTTGTAGTGCTGGGTGCCTGAGGTGTTGGGAGCTTGGGGCTGGCGTTGAGCGCCTGAGTAAGAGCACTAATAGGCCCTTGACACTTGGCGCTGAGTCTTCTTGACAATTTCTCTTCTTAAGCGGTGTGAGCTCAGCCACAAAATCTGTTAATGTCTATGCCTTTGTTGCTTTTTTTTTTGTTAGAGTCGGGTTCAGGTGGTGATGATGATGGCGAGGACTCACCTCACTTGGCTTTGATGACATCCTTGACGTTTATGTATTTCTGAGCTTTTGTCTACAATTTTGGCATGCTCTTTGGTAGGTGCTTCATCATTAAGAAAAGAAAGTTAGATGAGTGTAGGTCTCCCAAGAAAGCAGTTATGGTAACCTTTTCATTGGGCTCCTCAATGTGGAAGATCTCCTCGTTAAAACAAGTGAGGTAACTCCTCAGGCTTTTATCCTGGTCTTGTTTTATGCTAAGCAGGTGGGTGACAAACTTCTAGTGGGGGACGTCCAACAATGAAATGTGCCACAAAGGATCTGCTTAATTCAGCGAAAGAGCTTATGGAGGCCGGGGCTGAGCTTGACGAACCATTGTCGTGCAGATCCCTTCAGAGTTGTTGGGAAGGCTTTGTACATGATTTTATCAGGAATATTGTGCAGCTGCATCAATGACTTGTAAGTTTCAAGATGATCAAGTAGGTCTTTTATACCATCAAAGGTTTTGAGGGATGACATTTTGAACTTTTAGGGAAAAGGATAGTTTGCCACATCTGGCACGAAAGGTGTGTTAATTCGCCTTACAAGGTACTCCACAGTTTCTGGTTGTTGCACTTTCATGGCATTGAAGACGTCGCCCAATTGATTTTGTACTTCTTTAATATTTTTATTCCAGTGATTTGGGACTCCTTTGAAATTGTCATCGAAATCAATTTCATGCTCTGCACTTTTTTTCTTGCCCTCATCCTCTTGAAAATGAGGGTCTCTACCATAGGAAGGGGGAGTTAGAGGAGGAAGAGGAACCACCTCATAGTTCTAAGGAGGGGCTCCCTTGTGTGGGGCGCCGAAGGGGGCTCCAAAGCAAGTGGGGAAGGGCTCCAAAGGGGGTGCCCAAGTGGGGAGCTCCTTGACACCTAGAGCTTGGAGCTCCTCTGGCTTGATGTCCTCTAGGCTGTGCTCCACGTTGTTGTCTAGCGAGCTTTAATTACAAGATCTGTTAATTCTGAGCTACGAGCTGTTGCATTGTCTCCAGCATCTGTTGTGCATTTGGAATGGGATTAGTTGGTGGAGGAGCAATCTCCTCCTCTCGTAGTGGATTGTCTTTAAGCTGATTCATGGGTGTGGTGGTGATTGCCATAGGTATAGGAAGAAGAGTGATTTCGTGAGAATTTTGTCAATTCCTACAGACGACGTCAAACTGATGATGCACAAATAAGTTTTTACACCACATGTCAAGTGATCAATAATAAAATGGAGAGAGATAGTAAGCTAAACGAGACAATAATTTATAATGGCTCGGTCAACATGACCTACGACCACTTTGAAGAGTTTGGATGGCCTGATGTTGGTGTTTTATTACTTCAAAGAGTGTAGGGAAAGTAGAGAGATACAAGCTATGAGATAGAGAGGAGAGTGATAGCAGATGTGCTCAATTGAGGGTGATGCCCCCCAAGTGTTGGTGGGGTTTACAATTTATAGTTGTCTCTATCAGTAACTAAAAGGCTAATTTGGTGGAACTGACGCCATCTTCTCAACGGATGAGTCAGTTATGACGCTCCCCATAAGATCCGATCAAATGATGATTTGGTGGTTGACTTCTTTCAAGGCAGCGTGGATGAGTCTCTTGGATGACCCTTATTCCAAGGTGGATAGAATGAAGCTCTTGGGATGACCCTTACTCTAAGGTGGCTAGGATGAGGCTCTTGGAATAACCCTTACTCTAAGGTGGCTAGGATGAGGCTCTTGGAATAACCCTTACTCTAAGGTGACTAAGAAGACCTTTCCTCAGTCTATTGTGATGTAGCTCTTCGAATCTTGATTGAGCATGGATCTCATTTGGGCTAGACCTATTGAATTTTGTCTAGTTGGACTCTTTATTTAGATTGGACTTATAACATGCATTGGGCTGACCCATCACTATTAAACAAAATCGTTCTCAACTATTAATAAGGGTGCAATCTCAATTTAAATTTAAAAACATTTAACCCGAGTTCAACTTGAACCAGACCTTTAATAAGAAACTTTCAAACTAAGCTTATATTTTTAAACTTGAGTCATTGTGAAAATTCGAGTTTAATTCTTGAGTTAATATAAGTTAGTATATTATCCTCATTTTAGATGGGTTAAAAATTTTAATCTAAACTCAAAATAGGTACAAAAAACACTATTTTTTGGGTAATATTCTCATGGAAAAATTCAAATCATCCACATAAAATCTAACAAAAAAATCTATTAATATTCTCTCAAATATATTTACACACTCAACTCACTAAATAAAATTAGTGGTTGGCCTATTGACTACCGCCCTCTTCGTTACATCTTAAACTCGCAGGTTTGAACGTCGTCGTCTTTTTTCGTGACCCCAAAAAAAAAAAAAAACTCACTATATCATACTTCATGTGAAGTCTACATGATCCAAGCTAAGTATCGGAAATTTGAAACTTGGATCACACAATACTACAAAAAACAAAGACAAAAAAACAAATGTTACTAATCAGTTTGTTGGTCTGATCTCTTTGCATTCTCATGTACATGGCTTCAATGGTGCAACGGGTTTGGACCGGTTGGGACAATTCACTTTTCGCCACCGTACTGTGGATTGATCTCGCTTCCAGGTGGCTCTGGTTGAGCATCAATGCCCGGTGGACGTGCCCGGTGGTGGTGGTGGTGTTTGAGAAATGGGGTGAAATTGAAGTTGCTGGGGGTTCGAAGAGCGATAAGAGAGAGATGAGGAAGTATTAATAAAGCCACTGGGGTTGAAGTGTTTGAGACCGTGGCATTCATGAAAGAATAATAAGAGGTGAGAGAGCCAAAACATGAGATACAATACATGGGAGATCTTCAAGGCCATGTTGGAGGAGGAGAAGAGTGAGTAGAGGAAACATGGAGCAATGATATATATATATATATGGAGAGTAAAAACTATACAAGAGGCTTTAGTAGATTGAGATCAGTTTGTGAAGGCTGACAGCTTGAATCTAATGGATGAATAAGAAATGTAGATGAGGGCTGAATCTAGAGGATGTTTGATCCCATGTGTGAGTCTTCTATGTATGTTTATTTGGTAATTTAATGTGTGTGTGTGTGAGAGAGAGAGAGATAAATACAAGGAGTAGCTATAGTGGTAATATGAACGAATTGTAAATTCAAATATTCTGAATTCGAATTTTGACAAAAAAATGGGGTTAGGAGAAATTTATTCTTCATAAATATCTTAATTCCCGTGTGGATGATCTGTCTTTTACCAAGAATAATCGAGGTGCGCATAAATTGTGTGGTCGCTTAACTTGAATTTAAGTCCAACTCAACCCAAGAATTTTATTACTTTTTAAATATTTGGGTTGGACTTGGACAAAAAATTCCAGCACAAATTGAGTTCGGACAATATTTCCGCTAGGACATTGGGTTGATGGGTTATACTTAAACCTAAACAAAATTTATGAAATAGGGTTGAACCCGATTTCAACCCAAAATTAAAATAAAAAAATAAAAATTGCACATCTATTCATTATCATTTAGGTTTGAAGCCTATTATAGACGTGAAATTTATTCTTTCTATTTTCTAATTTAGTTTTGATTGGTGAAAGATTTATAGAATTTAGGTTCAATTTTGAGGCCAAACCAAAACTAAAACCAATGTTAGATTCAATTTGATTTTGATTAACGAGAAGCATGATTTTAATCTAATCTTAATCCGAATTATGTAACTTGAGCTCAACTTAAGTTCAAAAACTTAATCATAAGCTAGTCTAGGGTTAAAGTTGCACGAGTTAAAACATGGGTTGAGTTGAGGGTTTGATACTCTGAGTTGAGTCTAAATTGGCATCTCAACTCGTCTAAGTTTCAACCCTATTTTCAACTCCAGCAAAAAAGCGGGCCTAATTGGTTGTTGAGGTTTTATGGGCCTTCGTATTGGACTTTTCTTCCCCACGTTACGTACCTAGTTTTTGTTTGGGCTTTTACCGCCATTCCATTTTAGGAAATACGACGTCGTCGGGAAAAGACTATAAAATGAGGCGGATTGCTTCGTTGCAACGCAAACCAGATTAGAAGAACATAAACAAAACTGCAACGGGATTTCCGTCGGACCAACAGCTTCACCGGAACTCGAAGAGATCTCCGATTAAATTCAATCACTCATATAATAAGAAGAAGAGAATATGGTATGAAAATCTAATCTCTCCCTCTGTCTCTTCAGATGTAAATATATGAAATTTTTAGGGTTTCATTGATTGATTGCTTGTGTATTAAGTAGTTTTTGTATTACGATTTATTATCAGTTAATTATTATTTGTTTTGGACGGTATGTATCAGTCCTTTCAATAATTCTAATACTTCGATTATACAAAAAGGATATTTCAACGAATTGGATCATAGAATTTTGTTTCACCCTAGAATTCGGATAAATTGAAAATTTGCTGGATTTTACGTGATAATGGGTTCATTATCAGTTAATTATTATTTGTTTTGGACGGTATGTATCAGTCCTTTCAATAATTCTACGATTTCGATTATACAAAAAGGATATTTCAACGAATTGGATCATAGAATTTTGTTTCACCCTAGAATTCGGACAAATTGGAAATTTGCTGGATTTTACGCGATAATGGGTTCGTTTGCATGGTGAGAGGCCTTTAGGTGGAATTTAGGAATTGGGAGGACCGCCTTATATATTTGTAAAGGATTTTTCAAAGCTTGGTGTGGTAGCCAAAAAAAAAATATCAATCATTGAGCTTATTCTTATTTTGTTTCCTTCACATTTTCTTTGTTTGAAACAAATTTATGGGGACCATATATTTACTAAGTCATCAACATGAAGCCAGTTTTTTTTTTTTTTAGTAATTGAACTATGAGTTTTAAGCTAACATTCTTACAGAAAAAAAAAAACTCATCTGTGGGTTTGTAGGAATTAGTATGCTTTTATATATGTAGTTCACGGGGCTTTGTTTGATGTTGTAAAGGGACGATCCCTTGATAAGTTTTTTAATGATCCGCTGCTTCGAGGAGTTGACACAGTGGAAGTTTTATCTCACATAGTCCATGTTGAGTTTTTCGTTGGTATAATTTATCTGTTTTTCATGTCATATGGATATGTAATTTTAGGATTTTAATTACTCTGTTCCTTAAGGTGCGCTGTTCTTTTTAAAAATTAAATCTTTGGTCTTTTATTCTTTTTGCCTTTCCTATTTTCATTAAGTTGCTGAAATTGCTTTGTTGGTTTTCTGCAGTCTTCACTTGCAGCTGCTAGAGCAGACAATTTTTATTACCCACCAGAATGGACCCCAAAAAAGGTATGCTTGCTTAGAATTCAGTCCCAGCTGCTCTCTCTGTATTTTTGTATTATTTAGATGACGCATCGTTGTCGATTCTTATATGTCTTTTATCTTCAGGGTTCCTTAAACAAGTTTCATGGTCAGCATGCCTTGAGGGAGAGAGCAAGAAAAATAGACCAGGGCATCTTGATTATAAGGTATTGAATCAAAACCATTATAAGAAGTATGTGATTTAGGTTTTTTATTTCTAGCACAAAAGCAATGTATTTTTCAAAAAGTTTTGGAAATAGGGACATTCATCTAAGCTCTTGCACCTTAGGAAGAATACATTACACATTACATTGGGGCAAGGGATCCTTACGAAGACTTGAGATTCAGTAAATGAGAGATTTATAATTACTTAAGAGTCTCCCATACTTCCATGGCTCTTGATTTTTAAGTCTCTGGTGATGTTAAATTGGGGAAATAATATATATGTACATTGGTAATGACTATTGTATTTGTTTTTATTGAATTCTTGTGTAGCCATTAATCCAAAATGCACAAAGAAATGAAAAGATAAAAACTTTGATAACCACCTAAAAGAAGTTCTTTGATTTTTATACAATTTGAGAAAGCCTATTGGAGAATGTTGCTGTTACATTATATCAAAAGCATAGGTGAAAAAGATAAATAGAAGATAGTAATAAAAATATGAAAAGAAAAATGTTACCATGTTGAAATGGCTAGCTGCTAATATCAATTATTTTCCGAAGGTTCGAAATGCCTTTCAATATCTGGTGTGGTGGATGCAACTCTATGATCGCAAAGGGTGTAAGGTTCAATGCAGAGAAAAAGCAAGTGGGAAATTATTATTCTACGAAGGTATGCTGTAGTTCATTATAGATGCTCAAGTGAATTTTTGATCGAGGACTGTTAATACTGAATTTCTGCTTGCTTTGATTAGATATGGAGCTTTACCATGAAGTCTGCATGCTGCAAACATGAGATTGTTATTCAAACCAATCCAAAAAATTGCGAGTATGTGATTATTAGTGGGGCCACGCGGAAGACTGAGGAATACGACGTTGAAGATGCAGAAACCTTGGTACTCCCAGTTGATGAAGGTGATTATTAACATTGAAGTACTTATGTGTGGTTGGATGTCCCGTGGAAGTCCGGTGTGCTATGCTAGCATTTTGAAATGAGTTCATCTTGTTTTTTCTACGATTTAGATGAGCTATAAATACACATGCATACACACTTGTCTGTGGATGGTTTTTCCCTTTTCCCAAGGGATTATTAGGTTGCTTCCTTTTTTCTTATTGTGATGTCTCCTTGGTAGACCGGTAATGGCTGTTAACACGTTATGCATAATAACAAAGGTCTGAATACTGTAGATCAACGTTCAACAGTCTCATTTTTCTGGGTTTTTATTTGTAAAATGGTGTTGACATGTTATTGGTGATTTCCAGATAGAAGTAAGCTAGCAGATCCTTTCTACCGTCTTGAACACCAGGAAGCGGATTTGAAAAAGAAGAAAGAAGCTGATCCGGTACTCGTACGCCTGCAGCGGATGTCTGATGCTAGGCATGCAGATGATTATGCCTTGAACAAGGCTCTTCGAACCAAACTTAGGGTATGCTACTTAGCTAATGTCTGTTCTTTTTCATCTTCCCTCTTCCTCTTCCGTGACATCCCTTTATTTGCCTTCATTTTCACATTTCAGAGTCAAAAGAAAAGAGTTGCTGAAGAAGAGGCTGCTTCCAGGAAAATTGGACTTGGCATTAGACTACTGCCACCCTCTGAAGAAGATACCGCTGCCGCAGCTCGTGTTAGGTTCTCCTCCAAGTTTGATAGAAATAGGAAGGAGAAACGAGCATTGATAAACGCTGCTTCAATTTTTCCTGTGTCATCTGGATCTTCAAAGTCCCATTTGCAACGGTTGGAGTTAGAATCCAAGAGAAGAAAAATAAATGCAGCCACAGCTTCGAAGTTGCTGGTAGGGGGTTTTAAGCCATCCTCATGGTCTCGTACTGCTGTTTCTTCTGCTGGGCGGAACAGGATTTAAAGTTGCCTTGTGGTAAGTTTAGCTTGACCGAGTTCTGTACAGATCTTGAAAAATATTTGTTGGCAGATTGGTAGCATGGCTCAATTCTGCCTCGGTTCAAATTTGCAATTGCTTTTTGTGCATATATAAGCTCTAGGGATGGTTCAAAATTTTCATTTTTTCTTTACCCTTTTGTCCACTCTCTCCCCGGCTTTTGATTTTTATTTGTTACAGGTTTGAACCTTGTTGCCCTCCTCCTTGACCCAAAAAAATAGATTACCGCGGAATGACAGTTTTCTCAACTTATTATCTGCAATCAAAGATTATTTACATAACCATGAGTTTTATCATCTGAGTTCTCTCTCTACATTGGTATATATATTCGAAGAATTGGATCCGAATGATCTATATGCAGTCTCTCTCTCTCTCTCTCTCTCTCACACACACACACACACATAAGTTTCTTAATCTGTTAGGCCATCCGTTGGATACACATCATCTGCATTGCTTGATGTTCAAATCAGATATTATGGGCTTTGCAATTTAGGGAAGTCACATGCAGGCAGGGTCATGTATACATCTGCCTTGTGGCCCGTGCCTTTATCAATTTTTTTTTTCTTTCTAAAAGCATCATGGGTGGTTTATTAAAGCAATAGAAATTGGGATTTTTGGACATACACTTTTTTTTTAAGGTTAGCTGTTTATTTAATGGTCACCATTCCTACTTTTGGACCTTAAGGTTGAAGGTGCAAACTTCATTGTCCCATCTTGACATTAAAAAAAAAAAAAAAAACCCTTATTTTCTATTTAAGAAGTAAAAATGCACTTTTTCTTTTCTTTCTATATTATCTTTGTATTATTTCTTTACTTGAAGTATTTGTTAGCATAAATTTTTTGGTTACCAAATAATAACTTATTTGTACTATATCAAAAGTTACAATCTAATTACACTAAGTTATAACTCAAATCATTTTTAAGAGTAAGCTAAAGTTTGTGAATAAATATTCATTACACTAGCGATACTTTATAATTATTAACAATTAATGTCACCATTTAATCCTAAATCATCACGAGTAATTCTACAAAATTTAAATAAAGCTAAAAAAATTATAATCCAAATGTTTTGTTTGTGCATTTCTTGTCAACTTTTTCAATGAAACTTACTCATCTTTATCCCCACCTAAAAATCACTCTCTCCCTTTGGTCTTCTAGTTTAGGAAGAGTGTTTGTTCTGTATTGTCCGTCTTCTTTCAAGACTAGCTACTCGGACTATTTTTCTTTTTCTGTCAATTTTTTTAATGAAACTCACTAATTTAATACTCATCCAAAGAATGTTATGTCTTTGTGTTATAATTTTTTGATTCAATTTGGGTTGTATAGTATCTTTCCATCATCACCTGCACATAGTGAACTCCTCCATGTAATCTAATTTACTAATTAATTAATACAAGAATTTTAATTACAAACTTGATGATAGTGTAGTATTATCTTTACTAATTTGACAGAAATAGGAATTTGTTTTTATTAAACTAAAATGTTGCTAAAAAAAGAACAGTTTTTAATTTTATTTTTTTTTGCCAATATGCAAAAAAGGACAGAAAATTAAAGTGTTAGTAGCACAACAGTCCGAAAATGCCAGCTGGACAGCACAGAAGGTGAACATTGGAAATCCCAAAAATCAAAGTATGTGGTCGTTCGGACATCATTGGATCCTAACCGTGCCAACTGTACACAGAAACCCAGACAAAAGCATCTTCTTTACGGTGGGAAAAAAAAAACTAAAAAAAATTCATTCTAATCTTCCATAATATTTTTTCCGTTTTTAAATATACGTGGTTTAAAGTTTTTGTACAAAAATTAAAAAAATTATTAAATAACTCTAATATAAGTAAAAAATAATTATAAAAAATTAAAATACCTTTATTTAATACATATTAGGAAGGAATGAAATATAAAAGGCACTTAGCATTCACCAAATCTAATACATTTAAAAATTAAAGAGTAAATTTGGAAGAAAAAAAATATTAATTATGCTTTGATTTCATTAAACGACAAATATTATGAAACAAAAAAATTATGTAAAACGATAGATATTTAGGAACGAAATGAGTATTATTTTTTTCAATGGTCAGGTATCTAAATTAATTTATGTGTACTTTAATTAAATTTTTTTTGATTTAATTAAAGACAGATAATCTATTTTAAAATTAAAATGTTAATAAAAAATAAATTCTTCATGTCCTAACTCCAAAAACTTATTAAGTCTTGAATTCTGCCCCAATACTATCAATGATGAGTAATATTCTATGAAATTCAAAATTTTATCTAATCATAATTAATATAACAAAAATTTTATTATTTTGAGTTTAAATCATATATAAATAATGTTTAAGAACTCCGTGTAGTGTTTAGCCAAATACTTATTATTAATATACATAAACTTCAATTTGGTAGTCCACCCCAATAAAACAAACAAAACTAATTTGGAGTAAATAGTAATAATGATATTTGTTATATAGTGTCACTATTTAATAAAAATATAATAAATGAATAAATTTTATTAAATTTTGATATTACCCAACAACAATGATGTGTTGTTGCATTATGTTGAATATTTTCCTGTCCTCTCTCTCCACCCCCAATTCCCACCCACCAGAACCCCGTTACTTTTTCAAATTATCACTTCCTATTCTTAGTAGGGTAGCCAAATCCAATGGGTAGCCATACATCTCATGGAATTTATATCTACTAGTAATAAACTCGTATTTTAAGATATTATATAATATTAAAAATTAAATTGATCTTAAAATATTTATATTTTAAATAATAATTTTATTTTTTAATTACACAATTTATAGTTAAAATAAAGAGAAATAAATGTGAATTGATGAGATTATTTGATATTAGAAAGTGTATTGAATGAACTGTTTAGCATTGAAATTTTATAGAAAAGTTGATGTTTTGATGGGGAAAGAAAATTTTGGGATGATTTTATAAAATTGGATTAAAATTAAATTATTCATTAACGATAATTATGTTTATATAAATTGAGAATTAAACTTATTATAATACTAAATATAGATATCTCTGTCTTCCACAATTTTACACACACATTGTCATGGCCAAACTTCAATACATATGCATATAATACGTCCTTTTGAATCTCTCTCTCTCTTTCTATCTCATCTTGACACCTTCCTCTCTCTCATCTTCACTTTCCCCAACAACACCACGATGGTGTTACTGTCTTCTCTCTCCCCACCAGTCTTTCTCCTCTCTCTCTTCCTCACCGTTCTCCTCACCCTCCCAGATCTCTCCACCAGCACTGAATTCCTCAAACTCCCACTCCTCCACAAAACCCCATTCCCCACCCCATCCCAGTCCCTCATCTCTGACTCCCACCGCCTCTCTGCCCTTCACCACCGCACCCACAACCCCCACCTCCAGCTTCCCATCACCTCCGGAGCATCTACAGGCTCCGGCCAGTACTTCGTCGATCTCCGCCTCGGCACACCATCCCAATCCCTCCTACTCGTCGCCGACACCGGCAGCGACCTCATCTGGGTAACGTGCTCCGCTTGCCGGAACTGCTCCTCCCACCCACCCAACTCTGCCTTTTTGGCTCGCCACTCAACCACATTCTCTCCCCACCACTGTTTTGACTCATTTTGTCGGCTCGTCCCACACCCCAAACACATTCCTTGCAACCACACGCGCCTCCACAGTCCATGTCGCTACGAATACTCCTACGTCGACGGTTCAATGACCAGTGGGTTCTTCTCTCGTGAAACGACGACGTACAACACTAGCTCCGGCAGAGAAGTAAAGCACCAAAATCTAGCCTTTGGTTGTGGATTTGAAGTTTCTGGGCCGAGCGTCTCTGGCCCAAGTTTCAATGGGGCCAACGGAGTCATGGGTCTGGGCCGTGGCCCCATCTCCTTTGCCTCCCAACTGGGCCGGAAGTTTGGTGACAAATTCTCCTACTGTCTCATGGACTACACTCTCTCTCCTCCTCCGACGAGTTATCTCTTAATCGGCGGCGCCCACGACGGCGTTGGCAGTGAAATGTCGAAAATGACCTACACACCATTACAAATTAATCCCCTATCTACTACATTTTACTATATTGGGATCAAGAATGTCTTCATTAATGGTGCGAAATTACCAATAAACCATTCAGTTTGGGCCATTGATGAGTTGGGCAATGGTGGGACCGTGGTGGACTCGGGTACGACCCTGACTTACTTAGCCAACCCGGCTTACCGTCGGATCCTAACGGCGTTTAAACGGCGAGTGAAGCTGCCGAGCCCAGACGAGCCGACTCTGGGTTTTGATCTTTGTGTCAATATATCTGGCGTGTTAAGACCGAGTCTACCCAAGATGAGTTTCCAACTCGTGGGTGACTCAGTGCTCTCGCCGCCTCCGGGGAACTACTTTCTAGACACGGCAGAAAATGTCAAGTGCTTGGCATTGCAGCCAGTTACGTCGCCGTCGGGTTCCTCCGTGATTGGCAATCTAATGCAACAAGGGTTCCTTTTCGAGTTCGACAAGGATCGGTCCCGACTCGGTTTCACACGGCACGGTTGTGCTCTACCATGACTCACTGAATCAAGGTGACATTGATTTGTTTTTTTTTTTTTTTTTCAAATTATAATAATTAATTGTTGGTGCTTAATAGTAATTATTTTTGGTTCTGTGTGTAGTTCTGTTTTTAAATTGGACTTTTGGGTATTTTTTTTTCTTTTGTTGTTGTAAAGTGATTGAGTTTAATTTTTGGTAATTGATTTGAGGTTGAATCTATTTTTAAACTCTCTAAGAGTTACTTACTTTTGTTCCTTCGCAACATGTTTTATCACAACTCATGTTATTTAAATTCCAAAAAAAAAAAAAAATGTGTGGTGAGAGAGAGAGAGAGAGAGAGAGTTGTTTTGGTGGGCTTTTTGCTGTTGTCTGATTGCTCTTTGAAACTTTCACGTGAAATTCTTTATGAAATGGAAGTTGTCTCGTTTTTTTGTGTGGTACATTCTTTTGTTGGGTCACCAATAACTCTATTCGGCTGCTAATATGATGTCACGTCATGTCATTCCAAATTTATTTAATTCAATTTCTTTAATAATTGTATTTGATATGCTGATACTAATTTTCAATTTATTAAATCGTCTTGTCTTGTGTTGAAATTGACCCGCCAATGAATCAGCATCGACCACTTTGAAATTTCGATACTATAATAATAGTCTAATAGACCCATCAGGCAAAGTTACCAAAGTATCCATGGATGATTGACGATTGTTTGCGTTGGACGTATATAGATACTCCATGGCCTGCTTTGGTGGCATTATAATGAGGCCATTTTGAGTGGCCCCCGGTGGCTAGTCATGCTATCCTTCTGTTTCATACTTCATCTTTTTTTATCTATATTCTTGTGGATCTATTGTAATTTTTTTCAAAATTTATTTTGTTTGCCATCTCGTCCCCTATTTTGGCGTGAGATTTTTTTTTAGCTAAGGAAGTCGCTCGTCGTCACATTATCTTACTTGTTCACGAATCGGAACTTGCCCTCAAGTAATGCATTATTCCTGTCATCTCCTTCTCTTGGATCGTGCCTCTCAATCTCATTGAGCTCTTTGCTTTCATATGCGATAGGGTTATTTTATTGTACTAGCACACCGCCTATGACATAGTCTTGATTTTAATTCGAAAATTGGTTGAGCCTTAGTTAAGGTGAAAATAAGAATTATTTGTAATCCTAATCTTTGATAATAAACCTTTATCATTGCATATTGTATGTAAATATAAGTTTATGAGTTTAACCGCACAAATTGATATGTTTCCATTTTATTTTGTTGTTGTTTTAATGTTGACTCGTTTTAAACCTTTAAAGAAAAGGGAATAATTCTCCAAATTATGCACTAAAAATTTAAAATACAGAGTAAAATGTATTAAGATTCATCCCAATTAGAACACAAGTGGATTAGCAACTCAGCGTCATCAATGTATGGCATGCTTGGTGTTTTTATCACTCTTGTGATACCGAGAAAAAAATTATTATAATAATGATAAAAACACTCACAACAGTGATAAATCACACATAAAAATAATAATTTTTTTATACGGAAAAAAATAATAAAAATAATTACTATGGTAGTAATAGTAAAAACACTTACAACTATAATAAAAATATTCATAAATATAATAAATTATTCACAAAAATAATAATTTTTTTGGTTGTAAAATGTCTCACATTAATTATAAAAACATCCATTAAAATAATAAATTTTAAAGGCATGATAGTAATTTTTTTTTTTTTTGAGTACCGCTGTGAAGTCCTAAAAAGTACAAGAAATTTGAAAGAAGCCCCCTCATTTATTTGCTTTTACTCTTTTGCTTCTTCCTAACAATAAAGGCCACGCATAAAGTCTTTCTTTCTTCTGCACTTTTTGTATCCCTTTATAATGGCTACTCTTACAGAAAAAGGTTCATTACTAAGACCACACATTCAACGATGGCCAGCTCACCCAGCTCTGATAATGGCAATTGGCAAGTGGGATTGCATTGAGAAAGCTTTTTGAGTAATGGTGCGTATGGTGCATAGTTTATTAAAGTTATTTATCACATGAACGTGAATAGTTGGATCAGTAGATTTTGTTTAAAAAAATTAGTATGATCCATTGTTCTAATATTAATTTTTTTGTTTAACAGTCATGGGTGTTTATACTAGTTTACGCGCACTTAGACTAATTTTCTCTTTGATTCGGTCAAAAATATGTCATCTACGTTACGCAATGATATGTGTTGATTATTGCGACTAGCGTTATAAGTTATCTTTCTCGTTTCTTAAGTAAAATGGAGAACGCTATGACACTGAAAAAAAAATTCGAGTAATATATTGAATAATGATCTTTGGCCGATAATTTTAATTCAAATTATTTATAATAATTGATGATTGAAATAATAAAAAAAAATAAAAATATTTATCATCTTGTAATGGATATGCATAAAATTACTATACAAAAATCTAACCCCAAGTGATGTGCCTGTCTATCCCAGTCTAATTATTCCACACCGAGATCTTTGGTCGGATTCTGTCTCATGGGAATAGTTGCGGTCTGCATCACAAATTCAAGTACATTTTTTGATGGACGAGGACCGGCCTGGCAACCACCATACTCTATTTCTGTCATCCACCTACCTCAAACTGACATTTTCCTGTCAAGAATCTTGTTTTCATTTTAATTATTTATTTATTTTTATAAGATTTTGTTATAAAATATTTAGATTTGTGTCGATTATTTTATCGAATTTTGAATCGATTATTATAATTCAAATTATTTTAAAGATATGTTTCATGAAAAACAAAAGTGACTAACCTTTAAGCGACTCTTTGGTAAGTGGGTATTGGGGGAGAGAGCTTGATAAGATGGATTTGGGAAAAAATAGTCTAATAGACCCTAAAATCCTTGTTTGGATGGTTTTCTCAAGCCATGGACAACAATTTCACCCCATAGCTAACCCGACACCTTAAACTCTTGAATGTGGGTTTCATCAAACCCATGGGGGTGGGTTTCGGTCAAGCTATACCTGAATTAGTGAAGTAAATATCATTTGTACCCTTGAATTAAACAAATATGAGTATGAATTAGATTAATTAATAAACAATATAGTTGATAGTGGATGGATTTGAGCTTTGGCTGCCCATCCAAAAACTTAGAAGGTCTAATGGGCCCCTAGGTTACATGGCAACCCAAATGGCCCATCCACAGCCTGCCCATCCCGCAATAAAAATGAGCCACAATCCAAAGAAGAGGGTCCAGTGACATCCAAGTCGATATGCTCCTGCTCGATCGCATCCAGCTCAGGAACAGGGAGTTCGGTACTCTTTAGATCCCAAATAAACCTTGTCACGCCACGTGTCCAAGGGATAGTTTCTGAAACCACTAACGAACACGTATTCATTGGTAAAGGGAATATTTGTGCATATTCCGTTTAAGGATCGTAGGCACGATTTGTGTTAGGATGACAGGTACCACTATAAGACAAAAAAAAGAGTGGATCACATAATCAATCAAGGAAAGGAGAAAATCACAGAAAACCCTAGATAATTACTTTTATAAATAGAACACTATCACGTTGTATAAATGGTTCCAAAGTGATCTGTTTTTACAAGACACTGTATGCAAAAAACTCTAAGTCAAGAAACCTACTATAACATTCTTCTCCAAGTAATATAAACTTCAAGGAGCATGAGTTTTCATTGCAATTGATGTAGTCTTGGTCTTTCGGCTAATGTAAACCATGTTATTTTTGATCCAATTTTATTTCTTTCTTCTCTCTTAGTCTAAATATTCATATTACCCCCCTCATTGGGTTAAAAAATTACTATTCTACACTTAAGCCAAGTATTTTCGAGCACCATCAATAGTCATTTATAAGACAAATATATTATGATAATAGTGGTATATTTGTGGGTCCTACATGTATATGTGTTACATATCAAACATGGGTATGAATTGAATTTAATATTGAATCTCATTTTCATATGGAGGGATTTGAGTTTGAAAGAGTTTGGAGAAGTCGATTAAAACTCTCCCCAAAAATTTATCCAAACATACCCTAAGTGGTGTGAAAAATATCAAATTTGAGATCTCTTATTTATAAATAGCCCCTACAGGAGCAAAAACGATCACGTGAGCAGATACACCTCGGTGCCGTGGGACTAGCATAATTAGGATCAATATCCCAAACTGACCGAGGGATACGTGTCGGTCCACGGCGTATCGGGAATCTTTGATTCCTGTGAATAGTTACCTCAGGGAAGGGGGTTATAGATCGACGAGGACGTGTCGGGATCACAGCAGAGTCTCCATTGGCGCCAAGTACATTTGTCGTCATTTTGGTGTGTCTGAAAATGTCCCATCAATAATGATAAAAACACTCACAACAGTAATAAATCACCTATAAAAGTGATAATTTTTTGTACCCAAAAAAATGATAAAAATAATTACAATAGCAATAGTAGTAAAGACACTTACAATTATAATAAAAACACTCATAAATGTGATAAATTATTCACAATAATAATAATTTTTTTGGATGTAAAATGACTCACATTAATTATAAAAACACCCATTAAAATAATAAATTTTAAAGGTATGATGATAATTTTTTTTTTTTTTTTGAGTACCGTTGTGAAGTCCTAAAAAGTACAAGAAATTTGAAAGAAGCCCCTCATTTATTTGCTTTTACTCTTTTGCTTCTTCCTAACAATAAAGGCCACGCATAAAGTCTTCCTTTCTTCTGCACTTGTTTGTATCCCTTTATAACGGCTACTCTTACAGAAAAGGCTCATTACTAAGACCGCACGTTCAACGATGGCCAGCTCACCCAGCTCTAATAATGGCAATTGGCAAGTGGGATTGCATTGAGAAAGCTTTTTGAGTAATGGTGTGTGTATGCTACATAGTTTATTAAAGTTATTTATCAAATGAACGTGAATAATTGAATCAGTAGGTTTTGTTTGAAAAAATTAGTATGATCCATTGCTCTAAGATTATTTTTTTTTTGTTTAACGGTCAAATGTGCCTACACTAATTTACGCGCAC